CTCTCTAAACTAACTTTTTTGCTCAAAGATCGTTAGATCTACTGACTTTGAAGCATCATTAATATGTCTCCCCCAAGATACAACAACCCGACTTATAGTTGTGTAGACTTAACCAACCTTGCATAAGAAAGGGAGTAAAAAAACTCCACCACAAAAACACCTTTACAGGTTCCCTAATTATTTCTCTATAAACACAATATAATATATATATATATATATATATATATAGATACACTCATAATTCTCCATGTATATTATGAATGCACAAGCTCTAATTTATATATATACACAAACAAATGAAGAGTCCTCATATTTAATACAATAATGAATTAATTACAAATCGCTATCAATATATGATAATTCAATACTATGAATGTATGTAACTCATAACCTTTCACATGAATTATATAAAATTCACCTACATAATTAGCTAAGAGTAATAAACTCACACTTAAACCCTTTCAATTCACCATATTGCATTATTATATAATTATAATCGGATTAACTACATTTTGTGGCATAATGTATGTATACACATGAATATACCACAATATGTATATATAAATTTAATATTAAAATAACATAAGTGCATTTATGCACCAACAATCCCCCATTGATTTTAATATTAAAAATATACACACAAAAAAAAAAATTATCAAGCAAAAAGGGATATTATGCATCATGAAGGTGTGATTGGCATTGAACCCTCACTAGTGAAATAGTGATCTCTAATCCAGAGCCAGTAGTAATCTCATACTTGAACTATGACTACTTAGAGAAAGTAAAGTATCACTACCCACACATAATAATCTAGGTGTTGACATAAGCTTTGATGGCTAGCATGTTACGACCTTGTGTTGATCCCAGTCTTTCATGAGTGTATTTGAGAAATAAACTCAGATCTCAAAAAAAAAAAAAAGAAACCTCCATGTTTTCCATCTCAATTAACTCTACAATCCTACAATTACTCAAATTTTAATTGATTAAAAAAAAAAACCTCCACATTCTCCATCCCAACTAACTCTATACTCCTACAATCACTCAAAATTTTCATCCCAACCAACTCTACACTCCTACAATCACTCAAATTTGGTATTCTGAAGAATAATTTTTTATTTTTTTTTTATAAAAAAACCCACGTTTTCCATATATATTTTCCCATCTCAACTTACTCTATACTTTCACAATCAGTCAGTTACTTTAATCATTTTTTTTTTCTTTTTGGTTTCTTACTCTCTACTTTCTGGTTTCTCCTCTCTTTTTATAATGGTATCCAATGATAATTGCAAATAATTGAGAATTCCAAATGGCAAAAACCTTTGTCTCTTTCATTCCAATCGTTTCAAATCACGATTGAAGCATTGATGGTGGTCCTGACCTGTGAGTATTCATCGACAAGAAATTTGTTTCCACCAACAAGAAGTTCCTTTTTAATTGTTCAATCTGTAAGTCTTGAAATAATAATAATAATAATAATATAACATGTCACATAGAAATTTACAAGCGCAACTAAAAATTTGAAAACACAAAAAGCAGAAAAAAAGAAATTCAATACAATTATATCAAGAAAAATAAATAAAGCTTGACAATAAATTCTCACTTCTAGTTGATCTAGAAAAAACAGAAACGTACTACAAGCACAATTTTTCACCCAACAAAAAAAATTCTAAAATATTATTTGCTTTGACCATTAGTAAAGCCACTGCCAAATCTTTCTTTCATCATGTATTCATTCATTCGAAACACATCAACAGCAATATATATTTGGTGGAGAATATAAAGCAAAAACAATTAGTAAATGATTTGGATTCAAAGAGGACTTAATATACTAATGATGCGATAACATACCACCATGACCAATATATGACCAAACATCTATAGAAACATCAATCATATCATGTGTATGATTTGAAGGATTCGAGTTAGATAAGGCGGAAAAAAATAAAAATAAAAATAAAAATGCCTAAAAGCATGATCATGAGGCTTAAAGCTTAAATAGGTCATTAATCTTACTTCATATATAAATAATGTATTAAAATTTTAGTTATTTTAACATCTTATCTATGTTAATAACAAAGCAATCATTACCCACCATTTATCTTTGTTAGGTTTTTGTAATTGGCAATTTCATTTAATAAAACTCATTTCAGTTGTAATTTTATCCGCTCTTTTGTTTCAATGAAGATGTGAGTGTTTAAATGCAAAATCCAACCCAAATTGTGCCTATACAGAGGAGTTTGTGATCTTGAGTCTTTCATGTTTGTCACTTCGGTGACTATGTACGGGGATCGACCTGAGTGGTTTGACCGCTCGAGTAGTCATTTGTGCGCTTGAACAATGAAGAGAAGCATCTAGTATCTCTGTTTGCAAATTGAACTTCTGGTAAGCAAGTTTTACCGCTCGACCAGTGAATGTTGTGCTCGATCAGTCAACCTATATGCTTTGCACCGCCTTTACTCACACCGCTCGAGCGGTTTTTGCGATCCTATTTTCTATAAAGTGCGTTGTTCGTTGTTTTTAGGGTTTAACCCGTCCAAACTTTTGGGGAAAAAGAAAAACCAAAGTGTGGTATATTGAAGGGTGTTTTATAAGTGTTTCCTTGATGATTTGATCAATGAATCTATAAGCTTCATATTGAATTCATCAAGGGGTTGTTTTTTCTATTACGTTCACAAAAGAGAGGTTTTTTTTCAATGGATTCCGAGAAACTTGGTCCTGAAACTTTGGTGGATTTCAGAGCGGCTCATCATTGTGGATTCGACATTAGTGTTGTGGATTCAACGTTGGGCAAAGCAGTTCCGTGGTGAAGACGATGTTGGAAGAGGCATATCGAGTTTGGTTCAATTCGGGCGTGGATTCGCTAAGTAATTAAGAGTACTCTTATGTAATTCATTTTTGTCTTCTTAGTGGATTATTTTATGACTTTGCTCCGTGATTTTTTATCATAATTGGAGGCGCTCCAATTATGATTTTTTCCAAGTTAAATCGTTATGTCAATTTGTTATTGATTGTTTGATTGGAATTAGTATTCACTATTTAAAATTGAAACATAATCACGAATCAATACCACGAGAATTTTAGATTTTCCAATTGGTATCAGAGCAAGTCAATCAATTTTTGTTTTTCAAATCTATTGGAGCGAGATTTTATTTAATTTGTGAAAATGGATTCAATTCGTCAGGGGAATTCTACAATTCGACCACCCTTACTTGACAGATCTAATTACTCTTTTTGGAAAGCTTGGATTGGAGAATTTTTGAAATCTATTGATGAAAAAAATTGACAATCCGTCATGTGTAGGTGAACCAAACCGACGATTACCATTGATGCAGTAACATTCCCCAAACCAATTAATAAATGGGACACAACTGATTATCAAAATAGTAGCTAGAATAATAAAATTATCAATTCTCTCTTTTGCACTATCACACCAGAAGAGTTTAGTCGTATTTGTAATTGTGAAGTCACAAAAGAGGTTTGGGATATCTTACAAACTATTCATGAGGGCACTCATTCGGTTAAACGTTCAAAACTTCAAAGGCTCACTTTTAGTTTCGAAAACCTTCCAATGAAAAATAGTGAGACCTTTGATGAATTTTATGCGAAGTTGAGTGACATTGTAAATTTCAGCTTCAATTTAGGTGAAAAAAATACTAGAATCCAAAATTGTGGAAAACATTTTAAGGTCCTTGCCCAATTGGTTCCAACCAAAAGTTATGGTTATTGAGGAGGCTCAAGATTATGAAAACCTCACACTGAATCATTTGATTGGAAATCTCCAAACCTATGAGATACACATGAATTTCAAAAAGAAACAAAAAGATGATATTACTTTTAATAGTGCTCATAGAGTTGGAAAGGATTCCAATGAAGATTGTGAGTTTGATTCCAAGATTACGGATGTTTTTGTAAAACAATTTTAAAAGTTTTTTTCTGAAAAAGATGCATAATCTTTTGGAATCAACTCATAAATCTAAAGACAAAAACAAGCTCAAAATTGATTCTATAACCAAGAAGAAGAAAGGAAAATACATGGGAACTCTCAAAGAGTCCAATGCTATGAATGCCAAGGTTTTGACTACTTTGCTCAAGAATGCCCTATCGTTTAAGGAAGAAGAAAGTTTTCGCTATCACTTTGGATGATAAATCAGAGTCTTACAAGAATGAAAGTGACAAGGAGGCTCAAGGTGAAGAGGGGTATGAATAATTTCTTTTTTTCGTGACAGTTTCCGAAGCTGAAGAACAAATGGAGTATCCTAAGAGGCCAGTTGAAAATGTCACTGATGATGAATCTTCGGGGAGTGATGATAAAGTAGATGGTGAAAAGCTTCAACAAGCTTATGAAAATTTGTACAAGGAATCTCTTATCTAAATTGAATGACAAATTCACTATGAAACTCAAAGCTTGTGAAAATGAAAATGTCAAACTAAAGGAGGAAATTTTCGAGGATTGGAATGATGCCATCAAGATCTCTAATGATTGACAAGCTCTATGTGCAAAACTATTGACTTTTGAGGCAAAGATAAATGAGCTACAGCAAATCTATGCAACATATGAAGAAAATATTGAAACCCTCGAGATGTCTCGAGTTGCCTTGGAAGAGCTAGTTGTCAAGAAAGAGGAAGAGCTCAAGTGTGATATGGCTACCATTGGTCTTTGGAACAAAGGATCAAAAACTTTAGACAATATCATTGGGTCTCAACAAATGTGTAGAGTGGCATCAGCTTTTGTGGTGACAAAGAGCAAAAATGGAGTGCATCTACATCTTATGATACAAGAACTCAAAGAAAGGAAGAGCAAACGATTCAACATGAGGATGGACTTCTCAATCTTCCTAGAATTGGTACGATCAAAGAACATAAGGTACACATTGTTTTTATTGTCATCATTATGGTATGTGTGGTCATATTCGCCTTTATTATTATGAGTTATATGAGAGAGTGTCTTATAGAGGTGGGAGAAATTCTAATATCTCGTGGGGCAGGAGATATTTCATTGGTCGTAATGAGGTTAAGGATCATATTAGACCTTATTGTGTTGATTTGCTTGAGACCAAACATGAAGAAAGGTTGTGTTTGCCTAGACCTAGGAATATGAGGTTGGAAACTAAGTCGAGACGGGCTCCTATCGAGCGGGAAAGGAACCACAATGTCAAGACACTATCCAAAAACCACAATTCTCACAACTTTGTTTATACTAAAGCGGTTTTGGTGAAAAAGCTTAACTTATGTTAATTTGTTTTTTTGTTTTTTTGTTTTTGTTTTTGTTCTCTTTTTGTTTTGAGTTTTTGTTCATTTGTTTTTGGGTCTTTTTTGTGTATTTGTTCATTTCCTGAAGTTAGTTGAAATGAAATTAATTACCATACTTAACAAGAATGGAACATTTCCCATATAAGAAGAATTACTACTTGCAATCGCCGTAAAGAACCGAACCTTCTTCCTACTTTGGATGATTGAGAAGAGTCGAAGTGCCAAAGTGATCAAAATTGGCAGTGAAATATATTTAAACTTAGCATTTATTTATTCATAAATTTATGTATTTTGGTTTCAAGCATTCTAGAACTTAAACAATCTACAACAACCAGAGATGGATTTCGTTTTGCTAAAATAAAAGTCATAACACATCTACTCATCCAGACTTTCCTTCAGCTAATGTCCAACTCCACCACGTGTTTACTGGTCTAATTTTTATTAGATTAACACTCAGATGTCAGAACGAATCATCTGAGATGTCGTGCAAGCGGAGGTGGAACCACCCCAAAGAAAAAATAAAATACAGTCAGTACTTTTTGTTGGTATGAGAATAGAACTTTGGGTGCAATGCAAAAATATTACTTTCTGGAAGACTACAGCCTTGATTACATTCATGTATATAAACTCATATTTAATTACTTCATTGACTTCAAAGTTTCATACCTCATTAATAAAAATATTATAATAGGACCAATGGAAATATTAACCGTTATATTTATATAACACAACAAACCTGTAAAGGAACACATACTACAATTTAATCAAAAATATTTTCACCTTTTTTTGGTAGCAATCAATGTTAAAGTTGACATTAATAATAGTTATTAGTTTATATATCATGCACAGTTACTTCAATTTTCGATATTATTTGTGATTTATATTTTTTGGGAAGCTTTGATAGGAAAAATGATTTTAACAATTTTGTTTAGCACCCCTTTCCCCTCCCCCCAAAAGAAAAAAAACCCTTGTTCTGCTCCTGACTGAAACCAAGTTGCCTAAGGATATGTAAGGTAATCTTCCAGTCCGAGAGTTAGATTCCACCCCTTACAATAAAATAAAATAAAATAAAAATAGAGCCTAGCAGTATTTAGGTATGTCCAATTTGATCAACTATTTGCATGTAAAACAATGTGAGAGGATATTTCAGATGGCAGATTTCACCAACTGAAGAACTTTTGTAGCAGGGGTAAACACATAAAACTTTAAATTACTAAAAATCTTATTCTTAAATATGCAGAGTTAAGAAGAACCCTTTGATTAAAAACTAAAATAAATAAAGGCACTATTTTCTCAATTTAGTATCTTGTGCACCTGATCATCATATCTTCTTTGCATAACAGCATTTCTCCGCAATGTTTCCCATGATATCATTCGCTCAGCAAAGTATACGCGTAGCTGAAGCAACACCGAAAAAGGACACAAAAAATCAACTCTATTTCATCACTATAATTGCAAAGAGTAAATATTATCAAGGTGTAGTGGGAATGAAGCTAAAAAATGACCCATATTGTCACGACCCCAACCGCCCCTAATAGTTTGGTGCCGTGATGGCCAGTAATCCGAGATTACCGAAGGCCAACTTTCAAAAATTCACACACAATCAGAGTATAAATATATGGGGCTCACAAGTGCGGAAGCAATAATCTAAAATACAAGTGGTCCATAAGAACAGTGCATAAGTCAAATGAAATGGCATGCATCTTTACATAGCTTTACAACTTGAATACAAATAAAATGAAGTACAAAAATACAATACATATTACATCTTAATAAAAGGCTTCACAAGCCGACATAAACAAAATACATGAAATACAAATCAAGAAACATAATCTTCCAAATTTCAGACATCCTCACTGCCGACATAACATACATGCAAAACAAACATCTCGGCGTAGCCGACTTCTTGCTTGTTACCTACATATATACATAGGGAGGGTGAGCTTGGATACTCAGTGAATGGTACAAATAATAAAGGGGTTAAATGAATGATACCCGAGATCTTTTCAAAACAATAAATAGTATATCCTTGTCAAAACCGTACATAACATAGCTTAGCTTGACTTGAAATAAAACATCAATCGAACCTTGGTCTTTCAAAACTTACTTACTTACTTAACATACGTCAACTTAAAATATGGGGTGATGACATTCCGGTAAAACAAAAGCATAACCTCGGCATCGAGCACACCCGTTCATAGTCCGTCGGTGGCCGATATCTTAACGAGGGTGCTACTTAGGCTTAACGTCCCCTAGCACGAAAGGACGGTGTTACCTAAGCTTAAAGTCCCCTAACACGAAAGGACCCTCAAAACAAGATGTGCAGTTGCATTATAGTCCCCTGACACTAAGAACTTTCAAAACAAGATGTGCAGTTGCATTATAATCCCCTGGCACTAAGGACTCTCAAAACAAGATGTGCAGTTGCATTATAGTCCCCTGGCACTAAGGACTCTCAAAACAAGATGTGTAGTTGCATTTTAGTCCCCTGGCACTAAGGACTTTCCGAGAATGTCATCAAAACAAAACTTACTTGATACATAAAAATAGGGGTAATCATTCATGCTTAACAAATACTTTTATCAAAACGAAACAAAACTTTATCAAATCTTTATAACATAACTTTATTAAAAATACCACTCACCTAGTTCTTGGGACGTCGGGATCAAAACAAAGGTCCAAGTCCTATAAACACATGGCAAGTATACTGAACATACTTCTCAAAACAAGTCTTACATGCATGCAAATGATCTCGGGAAAACATGCTGGAAGTCAAAACACTGTTTTACATGTCAGGAAGACATGCTGGGTACCAACCAGGTCTTTGCCGAGGTCCCACATCTCCTAGCCGAGGCGTGGCTACCTAGGCTTCGGCGTGCGGCTGCATGCCGAGGTGCGCACAAGACAAACTAAAAGTGTAAGTGGTCATGCAAGGTAGGCCAAGGTGAGATACGATGCTTGACCTAAGTGTGAGGTCTAGGCAAGAGTAATCTCGGCGACTACACTTAGGCCCCGTTTGTTTTGGGTGAAAGAAAGGGTATTGGGATTGTTAATACCAAGGTATTAGTAATAGCCTTGTTTGTTTTGGGAGAAGGCCTTGGGACTATTAGTCCCTTGGTATTACTAATACCTTTAGGTCATGTTTGTTTGGGTGGACATGAGCTTGGGATTGGACTAATAGTCCAATAAAATTATTAATCCGATGTTTGGTTAAACAATTGAAGTACGGATTAATTATTTTAAACTTGACTATTAGTTAAGATAGGATACATAATCCAACGAATTTGTAGTCTTAGGACTATTAGTCATGGGAATGCTAATCCAGTCCGCCCAAACAAACATAGAAAAAGGTGACGGGAGAAGAGGGCGATGAGAGAGGCGGCGCTAGTGATAGAGAATGGTTGTGGTGTTTTAGAATTTAAATTTAGATAAAAAAAAGATGAAGGTATTATGATATTTTTATTTTAAAACAAAATTATATAAAAAAAAATTTCATTGTGAGCTCAAAGAAATTGACGTATGAAAATAAAATTGCCTTAAAAAATGTTATCCAGGCAAAGCATGTGACATAAACTAATTATCTATCAAACTTCCCACCTGCGACCATAGATTTGCCACATTTGAGGCCCGCATTAGACGGCAATGACGTTCATGTTATTTCATGAGGACTCATTAAATAGTTTTTTTAATTAATAATGTTAATTGTATTTTAAAATTTTTTATAAAAAAGAGTAGTGATTGGCACCCAGCACCCCACCTCCACGTGGGGTGCTGTGGACCAAGGGAAAGTCAAAAAAAAAATAAAAAATAAAAAATTTCAACCAATCACATGCTGCTACATCACTGGGGGTCACTGGGAGTCCTTCAAAACTGGGGTTCCAAAGCATTTTTGTATAAAAAATTGTTTTAAATTTTGAATTAATAGATCAGATTCATTTCGATGGTGAAATCTACACCAAATTCAGTTTTAGGCCGGCTGACTTAACACTCAGCTCGGACACGTGGCAACGGCTAGTTGGCTCTCCTCAAAAAGGTGATAGATTGACAAGACAAGACTATGACAAAGTGTATCTAACAAGTTACTCGGTAAGGCACTCCGGCAAATGATGACATCGGCTAAGGACAAAGCTTCAGCAACTAAGGTGACAATGACCTCGGCTAGGAAGGACAACACTTGACTAAGCTGTGCCGCACCTTGGCCTAAATGTGCCAGACCTCGGTCTAGGTCATACCACTCCAAGACAAGATCACTTAGGTGCAAAGGTAACATCTCGGCCTTGGTGATGAACACCTCGGCCTAGATAATAACATCTCGGCCAATATGTCAAGGCAAAGGTGGAGGTCAAACAAAGTGGTTCCAAGACAATTCTAGACTGAATATGACCTCGGCTTGGAATGATCTAGGCGTAACATGACCTAGGCTTGACATAACTTAGGCTTGAGACACCAAGGGAGGAACAAAGCATGCACACAACACTTAGACATAACACATAAACACAAAGCAAGACAAGATTCATGAATGCAAACTTAACAAGACAAAGTTATGTAAATGAACATGAATATGACTATGACATGAATATGGGTTGTTACAGCAACTTAACATGGCAAAACATATAAATGCATGCAAACATGACTAGGACATGAATGTGGGTTGTTACACATATCTTTAAACCATTAGAGTGCCAGAGCGTTCTATAAATTTGGTTGATTTAGTCATTGAAACTAATTAAACCATGCTAAGAAGCGCTGACACAAAACACAACATGAACACAATAACATAACAATTTTCAAAAAATGTAGGACACGATACATGAGGGACCCACACAAAATATAAAAGTTTATTATTTATCTATTTATTACATGTCATATATACGAATATTTCATTCAAAGACGATTTAAAAAAATGCAACCAAACATTATTCCTAAAATATGAAAGAGAAGAGATTAATGTATATCTACATTGTTTTTCTTTTATAATTGGATCCCAAGTCATGTGTCTAAGTCCCACGTGTATCTCCCAAGCGTTTCTGGGTATAAAAAAAAAATTAAAGTCACATATGGACGTGTCCAACACGCGTCAAGATGTGTCCAAAACGGACACAACACCTTCTTAGAAGTGTTTGTGCTTCCTAGGAACCATATGTATTCTGATTGCCTATGCCACTCCACTTATCAGCAATTCAACATCATCACATCCACATTGCCTTGGCATATATGGTACCTGATTGCCAACACCACTCCACTTATCAGCAATTCAGTGTCCTCGTATCCCCTTATGGCATTGGCATGGCGTGGTGGGTATAAAACTTTTGAATGCTAAGCAATGCACATGGATGCTTGTTTGGTTTTTTTAGGCTACTGGGATGCCTCCACTTGTTGCACCAAACTACAGAAGAGTGCCACCAGAGAGAGTTCACAGTGCTGAGCCACTCTGCCCTTGGCCAACTTTATACTAACCTATTAGTTCTGCTAAAATTCATGACAATAATTTGTACATGCTATTTACTTTAATTAGTAAACTAGAAAGTGACACCCATGAATCATACTTTTAAGTCATACCTATGAACCTATGTAAGTACAGATTTTGGAAAACACCCATAAATACACTTGTATAGACTTAAATACACCTATACAGGTGTTCATCTACAAATATTGCCTCCATACATTCATATAGCTTCACTTCCGTATGTCTAACCACTGCCACCTAAACAAACATCAGATTTAATCAAATAAGCAGAAAAGTAGATCAAAGCTAAAATGTATTACCTCACTACAAGGTGGTTCCAAATCCAAACTTTTCTCGGTGATTTCTCTAGTTTGCTTAACTTTTGGGATATGAGCAATCCTTCCGGACGTTGAATTGCCATTTACATAGGCCTGCAACAAAATGGGTATAATTGAAAGGGACTAAATCAGATCAAATGCCTGATTGAATAATTACATAAAATCAAAACCATATATAAAACACTTTGGTACCCCTGTATTGCCTCTCCAGCCACATTTTGCTCGAAAACAGGTCCACAAAGCTCAATTCCTAACACAATAAAATGCCCATGACAGATACAGCAAGCGAACTGTCAGGTAAGAAAACAGAAAAAAAAATAATAATAAAAGAAATATGCACAATTTACCCATTTGCAGTGATGAAAAGGGATAAGCCCTTCTCCCCTGAATCCCCACATATGCACTATAGTAAAAAGAAAAGCAAAACATAAGTAAACATTTATACTGGAAGAAAAAAGAATGATCCAATCCACTTCTCTTCAGTTTTAACAAACAATTTATGACACACCATGTTTAATGTACTTTTAAATAATTGGTTAAATACTACTTAAATAATTCCTAACACATAACAAGATTGTACATTCAAACAATTAAACAAACACAACTACATAAGTGTAGCAGCACATATTACATAGGTTTCAGATAAAACAAACACAATATAGCTTCCAGGAACAAATTTTGGAACAAACAAAGCATACCATTGGGCAAATTAAGTGGTTGTACTGCCCTGGTTTACACAGATTGCTATCAATCCCAAGCTCCTCAATTTTCCTCCTCAAAACTTTCATTTCAGCCAAGTCAATACCATTCTCTTCTAGGGTCTCCCCATAAAGTTGATAAACTAAAGCAATTCAAATCACTACACTGTTAATAACCCTTCAAACAAAAATATATACATAAAACCATAAAGAAACACATACATGGGGTTTAAAGGGGAAAAACCTGGTGTGTGGATATTGGCATCAGAAACAGAGGAAAACCCAGGATTTTTAAGAGAGAAAGGGTGAATATTTGATATGGGTTTAGAAGGAAAAGTAGAGAAGATGAATCTTTTGGTGTGGAAGAGGTGGGTTTGGGAAGAAGGGGTTGTGGGGAGTACAGTGAAATGTGAGAATTTGAGGAAAGGTTTGGAAGCCATGAAAAATGTTGGAAGTGAAGAGCTTGTGGAGAGGATAGCGATGAGAGATAAGCATGTCGAGAGCCTCAATTTTGCTTTGTGCATTTTTGCTTCAGTAAGCTTCCATGGCTGAGGCGCAAGAAGGGTAAGTAGGGGTTCTAGAACTTACTAGATAGTAGGGATGGCAATTTGCAACCGGCCCGATGGTGATCCCCGATCCCGACCCCGATTTAAGCGGTTTTTTCCCGAAAAATACCCCCGACGGGGAGAAGACGGTATTTGAAAATCAATCCCCGATCTGTTTCGGGCCGGGGACGATGATCAGTGTTTAAGCCCCAGCCTGGCCCCATCCCCAGCCCCATTCCCGAATTTCCCCGAAGTAAAATTACTTTTATACCCCTTATATATATATATATATAAAATAAACCAAACCGTATATTATATTTATAATAAACCAAATCTGTTTTGCTCTCACACTCACTCTCTAACTCTGATATATCTCTCTCTCTCACTCTCACTCTCATCTCAACTCTCTCTCACTCTCTCGTTGTTCTCTCTGGCCCCGACCCCCCTCTCTCTCACCGACGGTGACATCACCACCACCGAACCTACTGCCACAGCCAGCCACTCTCGATCTTGCGCCTAGTCACTGGCGTCGCTCAGATCTGTGCCAGACGATGGATCTGTGTGTGTGTGTGTGTGTGTGATCTGATCTGTGTGTTCTGATCTATGTGTGTGCGTGATCTGATTTGTGATTAATTTTTTTTTAATTTAAATCTGGAAATTTAGATCTGTGATTTTTTAAAAAAAATTTAAATCTGTAAATTTAGATCTGTAATTTTTTTTTTTAAATTTAAATCTGTAAATTTAAATTTAGATCTAATTTGTTGTTCTTGTGTTGAAGCTCGGAGAGTTTTCGGGGTCGGGGAAACCCGATCCTCGTTAGGGGACGGGGACGGGAGAGTGATGGGTTCCCCCGCCTGGGATCGCGGGCGGGGACGTGTAGACGTCCCCGAACGCCCTGGGAGAAATCCCGTTTTGTTCATTGGGCTCACTACAGTTCGGACTTGATGTCACGATTCTGAATCTAATCTCTCAAAGCGCAATGCAAGATCGATAAATCACCAAAGAGTCCAAATCCGGCAAATCGTTTTGAAAAACTGATTTTTAGAAAGAAGTGCCAAACATGGACTGTTTTGCCAGATACAGAGTCGCCATCTAAATATTTTATTTTGGGGGAATTTAGGAAACCCTAACTCGTGCCTAAGGCCACGTGTCCGTCATCACCAAAGTTGCCTCGGCTCGGGAACTTGGGTACGATTGGGGAAGGTCATCTCATGAGCACCCCCGCTCGCCCGATCAAAGATCGGCCACTACTAAGCATGATATCTTGTTTTTGAAAACACATGTGTTCTTATTCCGGTTATTAACCTAGAATTACTGTGTGATACGCACAGCATACAAGTATAGACTGGATCATTTGAGTTGGAACAAAACATTTCATGTTTGTTTATTTGAAAGATGGTTTGATAGTGCTACTCGCAAGTAGGCTAAAACACGGGTTTCGACGAATTATTCCAATTCAGGCAATCCAACCTTCACCCACAGGCATTCAGGCAGTTATATCACATAAGCAATTAGCCTCATGGCAAGCATGCTGTCATGTTAACATTCACATACATGCAAGATGCTAAAGCATAAACACTCACAGTGTACTCCAAGCCAAAACAAGAAACTAGTTAGTAATCATGCATGATCCTAGTTCATGTTAGCAATGGCTAATGCAACGCATGCAAAATGCAACTAAGATAGGCTCGGCTACCCTAAGAATGGCATGTGAAATGCGACAACTCAACTGTAGACACCCCATTTTTGACCGTCCTCAAGACTTGGACGTCACCGTTTGAACACTCGGTGATCATCCATGTTCGTGTTCGTTTTGAGTTCTCGGAGGTCTCGGCTACGCGCCTTGCCTTAGGATCTCTCGACTTACTTGTTTTGTGTTTGGTTTTGCACCAAACACTTGTTGTTTTGCTTCTGAGGGCAGGGAATGGCTTGTTGGCCATCCCCACACCTCACTGGCCATGGCTTGAGGCCACCGGCCCTGTTTTGTTGCTACCAGCCATTGGTGATGGCCGGTCAGCACTCTTTATGGTCGGCTGACCATTGCTTTTGGTAGATATTTTATGCCAGCTGTGATAGCTGGCATCCACAATGCCCCCCCTCCATACACGTGTATGGAGGGATTTCCCTCTTGCTTAGCTTGTTTTGTAAGCTTTGCAAGATTGAAATTCCTATAAAGGGAGGGCTTCTCCTCCCTCCTCAAGGGTTCTAAAAAAAAGTTCCAGAGGTCTGAGATTAGGGTTAGAGAATCCTATATCTATCTATCTCTATATCTCCCTCTCCTTTTGATTTGTGTGTGCTAAAAGGTGTTTTGTTCTTAGTTTTGCACTAAGACGCATAGTATTACACCATACCTTGGTTACTGAGGTGCCAAAGGGTTGTTCTTGAAGTTTTTGAGCTGGTTTTGACCCAAGGAAGGTGCTGGAGTGGTCTTCTTGAAGAAGGTCTACAAGGGTGAGAAACTTACCCTTTTATTCTCCATTTTTGCACAGCTTTTAACCTATCTTGCATCCATTTTTAAGCTTAGTGTATAACTGAGAAAAGTTCTATTTTTACTTGCTTTTGAACTTTGTTTAAGGCCATTTTGAGGTTTGGGGTTGTCTCCCCCCTCTAAGGCCTTGTTAGGCCTTGTTTTAGGCCATACCTTTTGGCCATTGTTCTTAGCTTTGCATGACCTCTCTACCACTAAAATCCAGAGGATTTTCAGTGGTGGAGAGGTGGTTTTGAGGTCCTAAATAGGAGAGGGTCATCCCCTCTCCATGTTGTCTTTGATGCTTGCATAAGTGGCTTGTGTTGTAGCATGTGTGCCTAGCTTGCTTTAGCTCCATTTCAATGCATATTAGGCTTTGTTTTGCCATGATATAGCACTGTTTTAAGTTGGTTTATACATGCGTTGTATGCTCAATACACTTGTCTTGCAATCCCATGTTTTGGCCTTAACATGCATCATGTTGTAACATGTGTTTTTAGCATGATTTTGGCTTAGCTTTGTGAAACTTTTATGCATGTTTTGGTGTTCTTGAGGTCTGATTTTGGTTGTTTGGGTCATCCATGACTTGCTTTGTATAGCTACCATGCAATCTAGCTTGTAGGCTTTGAGTATTGGATTCTCTAGCATGCTCTACTTGCATCATTTCAGTGGTTTGGCATCACTTATAATGATATTTCAGTCCATGTGACATGCTTGTTTACTTACATTTGATGCTCTTTTAGTGCCTTAAAGAATTGTTGTTTTATGCTCCATGTTTGGACCATTGTGTATGCCATCATGTGTAGGCCATTTAGATGCCATCTAAGTGGATTTTTGGTCTTGATTAGACCTGTCTTGGACTGTTTTAGGTCCCCATGGCCCTTTGGGGTTTGCTTCATATAGTCTTGGTTCGAGTCCCATGGCTAGTTTCCAAATTTTGGGCTTGGTTGCATGCTTTGCTTGATTTGTTTAGTTGGTTTGGCACCATCCTTAACATGATTTCAGAGTTTATCGATGCTTGTCATTTGTCCATATTAGTCTCTTTTAAATGTGTTCAAAAGTTGCCTCTTTTATGCCTTAGATGATAGGCCTTTGTGCATGCATGCTTGCATGTCTATTCCATGCTTTTGTTGCATCATATTGGCCGCTGATTTGGGCTTATTTGAGAGCTGCCGAAATTGGTTTAAGACCGATCCCGCATGTTGTTGCATGCTTGCCTTGTATGTTGTTGCATGCTTGGCCCATTGACATGTTGTTGCATGTTTAAGTGGTGTTGCATTTGGCATGCATCTTGTGTTAAATTGCTTTGCATATTTGCATGAGTTTGCCCCTCACATATTGTTACATGCTTACCTAACCATAAATATTATCACATGCCTTGCATGTTTGCATATTAGTTTAGGTTGCATTACATTTGGCATGTTTATTATACATTGCTTATTGGCATGTCCATGTTGCACTAGTGTGATTGCATGTTTAGGATTGCATAGCATTGAACATGTACGCCTTGCCTCTTGATCGAGCATGATAGAGGTTGGGTCCCTTGGTATGTTTTGTGTTTTGTGTATTTAATATTGAAGTTGCATACTTGACTCATTTGGCCATCACGCATTGAAATGCGCGATTGGTGGCCCGAGGGTCGAGAACTATGCTCCTCTAAGTCTCAAACATGCTGAGGAGGGTGGTGGTGCATAAATTGCTTTGAAAATGCATTGCCATGTCTTGTCTGTCCTCTGTTGCAGCAAACCAGTCTTCTGCAGGAAGAAATGGTCGGCCGGTAATTTTCAGTGCCGGCCGACTATCAAAACCCAGCAGGTGGCATAATTTTTGGTCGATGACCAGTTCTCCATGGCTGGTGGTGTTTCCCCTTGGTCGGTGACCTCCCACAGCGCTCAGGGAGTAGTCCAGAAGTAACCTTGAGACTTGTGCAGTCCTCAAAGGTGCAGAGCAGTGTAAACAGAGGCAACATGTGACATGGCGGTGGATTTCCGAGCAGGGCCGAGCGTGCTTGCATTCGTCCCTCTTCCCGAGGCTGTTTTACTGCTTTCAGTAATTTAATTAATTTTTTTAATTAATTAAGGGTCTGTAATATTTAATTAGCTTGTTAGTTAAATAATTATTATTATTCATTCGTACCCTCCGAGAGAGGGCAATTGTGTAAACGTGCGTGTGTGTGATGCATGTCTTCCAACCACCATTTCTTTCTCCCTTTTACTTAACCGCTTATGATGGTTAGTTCTAGGGCACGTTTCAATTAGCATCCTTATGCTATGCATGTTTGCATCATTTATCTGTATTGCATGCACCGGGCTCGGCGCATCATACTAACTACATAGTATTTCAAATTCAAAGTTGAATACGTGTATCGAGTTGTTGCATTTCACATGCCATCCTTAGATTAGCCGAGCCTATTCTAGTTGCACTTTGTATGCGATGCATTAGCCATCTTAACATGGACTTGGATCATACATTTGATTACTAACATGTTCCTTGTTTTGGCTCGGAGTACACTGTGAGTATTTATGCTTTAGCATCTTGCATGTGT